GAGAAGATGAAATAAGATGGAATTATTTATTTTATTAAATTATCATTTTTAAGCAACAAAATTTAATTCAATAAGTTTTAAGCATGTTAACAAATTAAGTTATTATTCAAATTAATTCGGTATATATAAAAAGAGGTATAATACAATTTATTTATGGTGACTTTCAGATCATTTAAACTAAATTTATGTAAAAGTCAGTTAATTTGAATTAAATCAAATTTAACTCAATTATAAATAAAATTTAATATAATCTACTTAGTCCGAGCTACAACATCAATAGTCCGAGCTAATGAACACTCTCTTATTAAACAATATATACAACCTTGGTAGTCAGATTTTATTTCTCCAACAAAAGAGAAAAAGGAAAAATATTGTATAGATCTCATGATCAAATTATTAATCTCCGCTAATTATGGAGACATGAGGTTAGAAAATTCAAAGTCATCGGATACATTAGCCCTTTGGAGTTGGGAGATGGAGATTAAACTACTAATCTTGTATCAATTGAACAATCTTTTTATTAAACTACTAAATCATTTAAGCTGAGATTTTATTTTCAACCTAATTTAACATCGGAATGTGTTGTTATTATATATTATCACAATTCATGTATTTCCTTCTTCAACAATTCTCAGCCTTCAACTTTTTAGTTTTGGAGTGTCTGTATGATTGATCTCGTCCTAGATAATAGCCTCTATTGCCATGAATGAATTACATTACTCCTTTCAGTTCGTAAGAGAATATATTTGTTGAATAAACTTAAATTTTAAGATATTTATTAGTAATCGTGTTTAAGTTTTATTTTCTGCCGTTGTGTAATTTTATTAATTTCTGTTTACAATGTTGTGTTTGTTTTTATTTATTAGTAAGCCGGTTCTGATTTTATAACAATATGGAAATAATTGGTTAAGTATTATTTCGTTTTTGATAAGATTGAGGCCAACCAAATATTAGGTCGGTCATTTTTTTATTTTATGCTGCACATCTTTCTGTTTAGATGTACCCAGCTAGTTCTTATTTCGTGGTAGTTGTTATTTTTCGTTTCATATACTCGGCCCAAGGTCCACTTGTACGACTATTTAAAGTCATCACAATTGCATGAAACTAACACACAATGAATTATTACAGACATCATTTTTGTGTGCAACGGTTTTAATAACCTTTTCGAAAAAGAATAAAAAAAGAGTGAAAGAGTAAGTGTGTTTCAGTGTTTAGAACAAAGATAACGAGAGAGATGACAAGATGTTAATAGAATGATTGTGTCACAATTCACAAAGAAAATCAATTATAATAAATTGTGTCTATAGATGAAGGTGCTACTAAGATCCCAAGATGTTTGGGATATGTTGGAAGATGAATACAATGAACCCAAGGAAGGCAAACACCTGGCAGCAGCATAGGTCAACAATGTGTTGAAAAAAACACAAATGAAAGATGGGTCAATGGTGTACTTTCTATATAGTATAATGGATGAGTTGGAGTTCGGAAAAATAGTGAATGCGACGTTAACAAAGGAAGCTTGAGAGATTCTGGAGGTTGCATATAAAGGTGATGCGTTAGACAAGTCTGGATATAAGCTTTCAAAGGATAGTTTGAACATCTAAAAATGGAACAAAAAGAACAGGCAACCGAGTACGTAACTTGGGTGGAGAAGGTGGCCAACCAACTCGGAAGGAATGAAGAACAAATGTAGCCTAGTCGAGTTGTACGATCTTGAGATCACTCATAAAAGATTTTGAGAGTATTATGTGCGCCATCAAAGAGTCGAATGACTTGTCAATTCTCACAAGTGATGAACTTGCTGAATCATTAGAAGCCCACAAATAAAGGAAAGGGAATTGGAATGAATATAATGAATATCTCGACCAAGCATTACAGGTACAACTGGATGTGAACGAAACTTGGAACACTCATGATTGAGGTTCTAGAGGCAAAGGACGCAGAGGCTGAGGATGACGTGGATGTGGTCGTAGCTAAGAAAGTGGTCAAAGAGGTTGGTCTAAGTCATAAGTAGAATGTTTCAAGTGTAGCAAACAAGACCATTATGCACATTAGTGGAGAACGAGCAAATGTTACAATTGTGGTAAGGTCAGTCACATAGTTAAGTTTTGTCAAGCTGAAAAAAGGAGAAAAATATTTGTACGAGGAGATAGGGGTCTTGTTGATGACAAGAAGCCTGGATGATGTGCCGCCGAGTTGTGGAGACCCCTAGGTCGAGAGTAGTGAGCTTAGGCTAGGTAAGGCTGAGTTGCTTAATTTCGGGTTGTTTAAGAGCCCAACAATGAAGGTTAAGAACTCGACAATGAGAAAGGAGAGCTCGACGATGACTATGAAGAGCTTAACGAGGCTGATGAGTATTAGGGAGAGCTCGGTATGTTTTCCGAATGGAAAGTTGAACTTGGCAAGATTGCCTAGTAGTGTAGTGTGTAATGTCTCAAATTTCAGGGTGTCACGACTTATTACAAAAACCGGTAATTTTCAAAACTTTCTTATAGCGTAGAAACGTATTTTTAAAATCCTAAGCATTTAAACTTGCATCGCATAATAGTTCCAAAATACTTTTTCAATTGCATTATTAAAATAAAACCAAATAATGAAGGAAATAAAATAACTCCAATTACATTGTCTTAAAAACTCAATTGCAATAGCTTTAAATAAAATCCCAAGTCTGTCCCCCATCATATCACGAATTTATCATGCTTCATCTTCATCTGTAACATCATCTGCTCTCATATAACATCACACACCAAAAACAGAGAAGAGTAGGAGCCTCCCTCGCCCCTGCTCCTTGCTCCACCAACTTTCAGAGAAGAAATCAGGAACCCAAGAACAGATGTCCGAAAAACCCCAAATTTGAAATAAAAAAACGCAAAAATTACAAGCCCCAAAAACCTCAATCGAAACCCTTGTCGCGACGTTGTCGGAGTGAGAAACCCTTGTGTTGCGGAGATGCTACTGTCGTGACCACTGCGTCGCAAGGAGGTCACACCTGCGCTACCTAAGCATACCTCTCCTCCCTGTGAAAACAACCAGACCGAAAGGGGGGAACGAAACCCTCCTAGCCACTGTTCATGCACGACAAATAACCCCCCACACGAATCGCGATGTCGCAAAACCGTCGTCTTCTTCATGCAATTGGGAATCGTGAGTTCTCCACGCCATGAATCGCAAGTCCAGAGCCTCATCATCACCAAGCCATGAACACAGAAACCCTTCCCCCTCAATTTGGGTTTTCGATTAAGAGAAAGAAGATTAACGTTTGAGGATCAAATTAAGGTTTGTCATATTCAATTGTAATGACAGAGGAATTTAGAATTAATCAGAAATTGAATTTTAGAAGTAATTAACAAAAGAAATCCTAACTCTTAATTTATTTCTAATTATAATTAAAAGAAAAATTTCAACCCTAATTTGTTTATAATTATAATTAGGACATCCACTTATGAGTTCTCCTTTGTAACCATAATACATTTAAATATCGATAAACCTTAAAAAATTATGTTTACCACGTTAGCATACTCTTTTTCCACTTCAATAAACAGTAAACTCTGTTTTTGCAAAAATAACATAATAGATTTGATTGATGTGAATTATATCAAGTTTGAACGAAACTTTTTCAAAACCAAATCAAATTCACACGTTGCAGCAAAACTAGGAAAAGTAAACCATTAAACCTTTTGAGTTTTCACTATTGGCAGGAAAAAAAGAATAAAAAGTTCAAATAACAAATTGGAGGGTGCTAATAATAATGTCTGCAAAGTATAGACAAAATCATTGTCACCTCCCTCATTTCCAAATTATCATTTTTCCATTCTTTTCTTTCATACGGTATTACGTAAACCCCACACTGTAATACTAAAAATGTAAAAATGGGATACAAGCATTCTGAATATACTACTCCAGGAAACATTTATGTTTTATATCATTTTTATTTTTATTTATTCTAAAACAATTATTCTGAAAGGTTTTTTCACATCTGAAAATACATTTCGGATTAAGAAATACATTCCGAAACACAAGAAAATCCGAAACATAAGTTTTGGAAGTCATTTTTAGATCTAGAAATTAATTTTAGAATACCAATTTCAAATATTTTTCTTTTATTTCAGATGAGATTTTCCAGAAAGTATTTTTGATCTTCCAAAACAACCATTCCAAAATAAAAAATAAAATTTGAAACGATCATTCTGAAATAGATTTTCAAATTTGAAAATGACTTTCAAACACTTAGTTTCAAACTTTTTCGTGTATTCTGGATTCATTTCATTGTTTCGGAATCGAAACAAGTATTTCGAAAAGTATTCCTAAATTCAATAATATATGAAAAATTTCTATATATTTCAAATTGAATATTCGAAAAGGTATTTTTCAGATCTAGAAATATCTTCTTAAACATCTATTTTGGAAAATATTGAAAATAAAGAAATGTAGAAATTTTTATTATATTTGTAATCCATGATAGTTTGCGGAGTTCCACTTTTATTGGAGTGGAAGAAGAAAAACAAAAAATAACTTCTAAATTATACATTCCGGAAGCTTAATTACTTCCAAGTAATATAATCTAAAAATAATTTATTGGAAAAAGAAAAAACTTTTGAATTACACAATTCAAAAATTATTTTTAACTTCTGAGTTCTGTAACTAAAAGTAATTTTAAAAATAACAATCAAATTCAAGAATGTAGAAGTCAGTTTTTATTTTCGAATTACACTATCCGAAAAGCTTTCTAGTTACAATTAAAATTTTAAAAATTAAATTTAAAATTCACATTCAAAGTATAGACAAGTAACAATGGCATTTAACATACTGTAGAACATATAAGTGATTTTTTCATTATTCACCATAAAATGTAAAAGCCGAAATCAAAGTGAAAACAATGCAACATTATAACTAACAGAAAAAAAAAGTTTTTGTCAAATCAAACACTCCTTTGAGTGTTAAATCCATGGTTATAGTTACACTTTTATCACTAATCAATGATTATAGTTACACTTTCATCCTTTTGAAGTATACTCCTGCCTTTGAGAGAAGAGCTAAATTCAAAGAATAAATATGTCATCAGCTTAATATAATATGCTATATCAGTGGAAACTTAGCCAGCTACTGTGTCTACTAACATGCATCACAATGTTTTGGAGTGAAAAACAGAGGAAAAAAAGGATTGAAAAAAAAAGACATGTTGCAGTTTGCCTCTACCAAAATTTGCCTCATTGATAGAAGAAAGGAAGGATCATAAATTTGAGGAGTCCCAGCTTGCATAAACAGCACCTATAAATTTTTCATGCAGTGTTACACCAGAGCATGCAATTATACCTCTGTCAAGACCTTCTAAGTACATTCCCTTGGAAAAGTCCAGAGGGCGCCCTCCAGCATCAGTTACCACACCACCAGCCTCTTCAACAATCACAACACCAGCAGCATGATCCCATATCTTCTCCTTGTAGCCACACTTGGCAAATTTCATGAATATCTCTGCATCGCCCCGTGCTATTGCTGCATATTTTACCATGCTGTGCACACGCAAGGGCTGTTTTCTACAACAGAGGAGAGTGATTCAATCCCAGCAATGGTGTTTGAAACAGAAAAATTAAAATGAACATAAAAAAATGTCATTATCATATATTCAGGTCCAGCTCTGAAAGAAACTGAAAACAAGGAATTTTGGAGAATAACCTTTTACCTTGAATCCATGAAATGATAGGACTAAATCAGGCTAAAAGTAAAGTTCTTGGTTCTGAATTCCTTTCTAGAAAAAACATTAAAGTTCAAGTTCAAAANTTTAAAACATTACGATTAAAGTTAATAATTAATGATAAGACTGATACATTTTTTAAATCAAAATATTCTTACTCTATCTTTTCTAATTATAACATTTTACATTCAAACATTCGTTCAAAACAAATGAATTACATCATTAACTTAGAATTATGAAAGGTGAAAAGTCTTGATCTTGTTCTTAAAAGTCCCAAATTTAACTTAATTGTGAAAATGCAATTTCAAAATTAACTATTTATATTAAAATTTAAAAATATAAAACTAATTCATTCATCAATATTTTTTATGCACACATTTTTCTTTTCTTTTTAAATTTAGATACCTTGTATACTTAATTGATCTGAAAACTTGTATAATTAATTTATCTGAGTGTCTGATCCTACATACTCTCATTTTAAAATATTCATAATTATCTGATCCTACATACTCTCATTTTAAAATATTCATAATTATCTTGTTATCTTAATATATCACTAGTATAAAATAAATATATTAAAAATTGATTAAAGTAAAATTGATATAAAGTAAAATGTGATGATATATAATTTTGTAAGTATTGGTAACTATATTAGATTAGTTGTAACTGGAAACCGATTTAATATTTACATTAGATCGGTCATAAAGAAAACAAATTTAATATGTGCATATTAGATATAAGTTAAAAAAATTATCGATTCAATTGGTCTTCTTTATTATGTACAAAACCCTTTTTTGACTTTTCACAAAGTTTTTTCTCTTTTCTCTCTTATTTTTTAAGCCTTATTTTGGAAGTCCTAAAACCTATTCTTTCAATGTAGCTTTTTCTCATTCGTCACTAATGTTGGTCCGCCAAATCTCTACCACCGCAACGATGCTAACTTCGTCCTTAATTGCTGCCACAGTCAGCCAATGCACCTCCCTACTACAAATGTAGTTGGATCTCCACGTGTCATCACCAACAATATTAAAAATGCAGCTTGTGAACCAGATTTGTAATGAGCCACTAAACACCATGTGAACGCCAACAATGAACCTGGAGTCAGAAGGTAATAAACCAGCGTTGCGCCACCGTCAACCTTCGTCAGAGCATACACGAACATCATCGTCAGCCACCATAAACCATTATAGTGTAACATCCCAAAAATATAGCATAAAACTATATACATGTGACATCATTTAATAATATGATAAAACAGTTACTGGAAATAAAGTTAACCTTACAGTTATAACAAAATAATCATAATATTTAAATCTTTACAAAAGACCTATACTATTCCAAAACTATGTACCTCACCGAACGATTTTTACCAAGTTAGGATTATAACCGAACAGTTCATACAAAACTATTCACACGACCGAGCGGTCTTGTACTAAGTCGAGGGGTCCTCTCCTTCCAAGGACTGCTCCACCGAGAGCTCCTCTCCAACTGCTCACACCCATAGGGTGATCATTGCAAAAGAAGAATCGAACAGATAACATGGACAAAATAGGAAATAAGGGTAAGCTAATGTAATTTAATTGTATACATATACATACATTTCGCACAAGTCCAAACAATGCAATATCGAACACTACAACATACCAAAATCGAATACAAGCAAGCATATACAAACCAAACACTCAAGTTGTTATGACNAAACTAAATTTAGTTCACGAATAATAAGTTTCATAGAATATTATATACTTAGATGTGTTTAAATTTAATTTTGAGTTTCAATTTCAGATTGTAACTTGAGAAGGAAAAAGAAAAAAAATCTGTTGCCATTAAACTGTGATTTAATTGCAAGTAAATGCATTATATACGTTTCCCATTTACTTTATAAAAATAATATCCCTTGAACAATCTAACTTTCACTAATTAAAATATAAAATTATAGAAAATGTCATATTGTTCTTATTAAATCAATTATTGTAGTAAAAAGTAAAATTTGTAATAAAATATTATATTTATTTTTTAGAAATCTTTATGTAAGTAAGTATCTTTTACCAATAAAAAAATATCTTTAGTCACTCATACATAGGAAACGTAATTTACAAGAACATTAGAAAACATATTATAATATTTGCAAGAAATTAGAAGGAAAGGGATGACGTAGTGTTCTGTCCATGTGAGCTTGAAGTTATGATAAAGTTGAAAGGTAGTGCTAAGAATTGATGAAAAAGTAAAACAGTGGCATGTGTTTTGAAGACTCTGCTACGTGCAATTCAACTTTGTGGCAAGCTGCCCCTGAAGTGTTATTTATGATCACAGATTCAGGTTCGGGATTAATTGGTTAGGAGTTTACATCAAAGGTTGCTATCAAAATAGTTACAGGTTATGAAATTAACTAACTGTAATAAATCATTTTAAAACATTACGATTAAAGTTAATAATTAATGATAAGACTGATACATTTTTTAAATCAAAATATTCTTACTCTATCTTTTCTAATTATAACATTTCACATTCAAACATTCGTTCAAAACAAATGAATTACATCATTAACTTAGAACTATGAAAGGTGAAAAGTCTTGATCTTGTTCTTAAAAGTCCCAAATTTAACTTAATTGTGAAAATGCAATTTCAAAATTAACTATTTATATTGAAATTTAAAAATATAAAACTAATTCATTCATCAATATTTTTTATGCACACATTTTTCTTTTCTTTTTAAATTTAGATAACTTGTATACTTAATTGATCTGAAAACTTGTATAATTAATTTATCTTGAGTGTAAGATCCTACATACTCTCATTTTAAAATATTCATTTTAATTGTATACACATACATACATTTCGCACAAGTCCAAACAATGCAATACCGAACACTACAACATACCAAAACCGAATACAAACAAGCATATGCAAACCGAACACTATATTAAAGTTGAGTACTAAAACTAGGTTAAATATCAAGGCTAAACAAATACTAATGTAATACCGAGCGCTAACAGTAGCATAACTGCTAATGTAAGACCGAGCGCTAACACTAGTATAACATAAGACCGAACACTTGACCAAGACCGAACGACCAAAGGTGCACACTCTGCTTTCTGCATAATTCTGTAAAATTCTGCATAATTACGAAGAACACTAGAATTTACCCAAAACTAAATATTTTTCTTCTAATCCTCCAAACCTGATACTAATAGGTCACAATTCACTTATTCAAACTCCTCTCACTGCCCAAAAATCACTCCCAACCTCTTACTCTCATTTTCACCCTCTCACTTCCACAATTTGACACTAGCCGAACACTTTTTCTGCATAAAACTCCCAAGTCCAGTTCACAGAGTTCAGTCCTCACATTCAATCGAAAACAGAAATTCAACATGCATTTCAATCAATCATACAATCCAATACAAACATATAACATACAAGTTAAATTATTTAGCTTCCCTTGCCTTAGAAAATCTGAACAACTAAACCCCAAAATTTCCAACTTGAAGCTTGCACCGAAAGAAACTCTATGAACACCTATAGATCACCGTTTGGTGAGAAAAGACCAAACATAGGACCAAAATTGAAGTCAGAAACAAGAAAAGAAAGCTGATGAACACATGCAACTCAATACTTGGCTTGCATGTAACAACAACCAGAATTTTTGAGAAAAAAATTAACTTACCAACTCAAAGATTGCTTTTGATCGGTGAAGAATGAAGCTTTTGACACCAGAAAAGCTCAGGCACAGCCTGATTGATGATCAGATGAAGAAAAAGTGAGAATTTCTAGAGAGCATTTGTAAAGAAAAGGAGGAGAAAGGAAAAACTCAGAAGTTTGGAGAGAAGAAGTGCATGGAGAGAATGACACGAAATTTTGAAAAGTTCTTTTATATACTACCATCAAAACCGATCGATGCAGTAAGCAACATACACTTGTCTTCCAGTTTATCTGAATTTCTAAATCCTTACATATAGCACATCCACCAACAATGTACCCAACATATAACGAAAGCATGAACAATAGATAGACATATGGGGAATGAAATCAATAATGGAATAAATGATTACTTAACTAATCTTGATGCACTCTTTTTTCGGCCTTAGCCTTGCTAACACGCCCAAACACAAACCAAAATCAATCAAAGTCTACCTTCACATGTCTACCCAAGGCATTTAGGGGAGGAGTTACTTAGAAATAAGAGAAGATGAAATAAGATGGAATTATTTATTTTATTAAATTATCATTTTTAAGCAACAAAATTTAATTCAATAAGTTTTAAGCATGTTAACAAATTAAGTTATTATTCAAATTAATTCAGTATATACAAAAAGAAGTATAATACAATTTATTTATGGTGACTTTCAGATCATTTAAACTAAATTTATGTAAAAGTGAGTTAATTTGAATTAAATCAAATTTAACTCAATTATAAATAAAATTTAATATAATCTACTTAGTCCGAGCTACAACATCAATAGTCCGAGCTAATGAACACTCTCTTATTAAACAATATATACAACCTTGGTAGTCAGATTTTATTTCTCCAACAAAAGAGAAAAAGGAAAACTATTGTATAGATCTCATGATCAAATTATTAATCTCCGCTAATTATGGAGACATGAGGTTAGAAAATTCAAAGTCATCGGATACATTAGCCCTTTGGAGTTGGGAGATGGAGATTAAACTACTAATCTTGTATCAATTGCACAATCTTTTTATTAAACTACTAAATCATTTAAGCTGAGATTTTATTTTCAACCTAATTTAACATCGGAATGTGTTGTTATTATATATTATCACAATTCATGTATTTCCTTCTTCAACAATTCTCAGCCTTCAACTTTTTAGTTTTGGAGTGTCTGTNGAAGTTGAGAGCCTAGCAAGAGAAGAAGGTATTTTAGTGGAAAGGAGATACTACACAAACTTCTCAGAGGATCAAATAATTTCAAGTTACTTCAAGTTGTTTCAAAACAGAATATGAGGTCATTCAATCCTGGTTTTTTGGCATATAAAATTACTCTCACACCAGGAAAACTTGGTTTTTGATTGTCAGTTTTGAGATATTGTGTGGTTTATGTCCATAAAAGAAGAAGAAAAATGTTATGTATAAAGAACCTAAAAAAGATAGGTGAGCCTTACCTCACTGATACCTTTTATCTAGTTGAGTACTGGAAATACTCTTTATAATATTAGTTTGGTATCTTGAAGTTTTCTTTGTTGCGAAATTGTATGAGAGGTTGAAGGAGAAGACGGATTCCAAGGGACACTACTGCACAAAGGCCATTTTTTCCACCACCTCCATTTTTTCCAGAACTCTTCCTAACGAAAACGGAGATTTTAAACACTTTTGAAATCAGGGTTCTCTAAATATTAAGTTTTAGGGCTAACAACATCACACGTGGCAATCTATTCACACAACACAACACCAATCAAATTTAATAAACAATGTCTCGTCAACTAAAACAAATTACAGCTCAGCACAGACAAACGACGTTATTGATAAATTAACGGAGAGGGCTTAATTGGCTCATTTTAACAAGTTTAAGGACCCGATTGAGACCAAAAAAAACACGATAACACACTTGAGATTGACACACAAATATGAGGACCAAATGAAGGTTTAAACCTAAATCTTTAAACCTTTTAACACCATGTTCTAATGCGCTTATGTAGGAGTTAATTTCAGTTCAGTGAATTAGTTAATTTGAATGAAACAAGGGAAAATATACACACCTAAGTCCCACACTGTGAGCAAGTCCAGCTGTGAATGAATGGTTTGAGTTTGCCCTTTCCACTGGTTCACAGAGAGTTGCCAATGCCGGATCATCAATTGAAGAAACACGAATAAGTCTAGCACGATTTGGCCATTCCAGCATTTTCTCTCCATCAATCAATGACTGCAACCAAGCCTCACCACTGCCGCTTTTTGCGTACAATACGCATCCTTTTCCTCCAGTATCAGGAGTTGTTAGAGACGATTGCGCCATTGTTTGGTGATGCCAAGAATGATAATTAAGCAATTCTGTCTTTACTGGGTAGTTAGGACAACCAAGAACTCCAAGAACAACTTTTCCATCCTCAATCAGAGCTAGAGCAACAGCATACTGATCCCCACGTACAAATCCTAATGTGCCATCAACAGGATCAAGTACCCAATGTCTTCCACTGGGGCCTCCAGTTGAGTTGCAACGGGAAATGGCCTCAAGAATTTCAGTTGATCCTAGAGTTGTCTCTGGACTTTGAAGACCATACTTGGATGCAAAAGCTAAAGACTCATTCACAGTGTTCACAACATTATCCAGCAAGCTTGCTGATTCATCCTTTGAGATGGTTTGTATGTCTTCTTCGGCCACAATTGATACGTTTTGAACTCCAAATATTTCTGATAATAACCAACTAATGGTTGCTTGAACACTAAAGTCTTCTCGTGCCGAGATATGAAATGAAATAACCAGTCAATTAACAACAGTAAGCAATATTTGCGCCAGAAACAAAATATGAGCATCATGAATGAATTTGCAATTTGTAAGGATAAAATATATACTACGTAAAATATCCCAATTTCGAATATGGCAGATTTGTTTTAGTGCTATAGGAATATAAACAAGCTAGCTTGGTTTCACCACAAAAAATTGTGATTTATGATGCATGGACACAGGCACGGAAACGGCAATACCTATAATCGCCAAAAAGTAGGATATGACCAGTCAAATATATATATATGTATGTATATATGTTGAATATTTATATATTCAAAATCATATATAAAATAGTCAAATTTTATAGTTTGAACATATTGTTGCCTAATAAAAAAGGATCAAATTTATCCATCTAAAATCAACTAATAATAATAATATTAAATAGATAAAATGAAGTCCCCACCACCATCATGTTACACAGGATGAGGGTCAAAAATAGAAACAAACATGAATAGAGAAAACTAGTTCTATGACTCTCATAAAAGATAAAAAAAAGTTACTTTTATGAAATTTCATAAACCCCATTACCGGATGAAACTAAAAACAGTAAGAAAGGGAATTTCAAATTGATTTTTAATTCGAAATAATAAAGGAAACATCAAAATTCATGTTATTCAAAAAAATACTTTATACCAAAACTTTAGTGATAGGTTTCACGTTCACAAAAACTGAGAAGCATGAAATGGTGGGGAAGTGCAAATGAGACTAACAGGGCATAGGAGGGTAATTTATTTATAGAGGGGAGAAACTCAAAAGTTACAAAAAGAGAACGTGTAAATGGAAAGTAGACGGTTTGTTTGTTTGTTTAAAGAGAAAACATAAACTTACGCAGTAAGTTTCTACCTTCCCAACTTAAAAAAAATACTGTCTCCACACTCATTACCACTGTGTTTGACTGTGTTGGACCTGCAATGATTTTTTAATTTGAAACTTCAGTAAAGTGTTTAACACATGTCGGACACAAGGCCATGCCATTGAAAAGTTGGGTTCATGCCTAATAGATTGTGATAACTAATAATATCTAGAGAATAAAAAAGAAAGAGAACAATGGTATTAGCTCCACATTTTGCAGGAGAAAATTGTGTAATACATTGAAGCTTGGATCTTTGGACTAATAACAAAAGGTAAAAACAAGTTCCCATCCTTATGAAGTGCTGCAATGCAGGTTTAAAAGACAAGTTGGAGCTTAGGTAGTCACTATTACAATAGTTTATAAAGTTTTGTGTTGCATTTATCTGTAACCTAGAATCATAGGGTTAAACTCCATTATGTTTTTCTTTCTGTTTCCTTAAGCTTATATATTCTTAGTAAGTGGATTTATGCCTCACTTAACCTCACAAAACTGACAATGAGGTTTATCCTCACTTATATCCTGTAAATTGACCTTATCTTTAGTATAAGTTGGCCTCCAATATACACTCTTTCAAGTTAAGATCTCCCAAACTCTTTGTCTCATATATACACTCTTTCAAGTTGGTATCAAAATGGGTTGATCCCACTTTGCTTATATTTTCTTGCAAGAAAATGTCTTCTCCCACTGTCCACTATCTTTGGCCACCATCCCACAATAGCTGAACTCCACCTTTTTCTCCAACAACAACCGGAACTGAAGTGTCTCTACAAGCCATGCACAATTTGACTGGTTGTTGAAGGCTAGTTCTCTCTCACTTCATCAAGTGCCACTTATCTTTGTGACTCAGTGAGGTGCATTTAGCCTGCATGCCACTTTCTTGTCACTACAACACCGTCACGACACCACCAGCATTTTCGTTGGCTACTTTTGTCCCAGTTCCAACTCCTATACTTACCTTTTTGAAACCATTCACGCATAGGTTATCTTGAAACCTAGGCAACTTCTCTTTTTTTTCTGCTTTTGTTTTTTTATGTCTGCTAGAGTTGTGGAACATTATCTACTAGACCTGCCTTTTAATTTTTCGGGACTCAAAACAATTACTTTGAAAAATCTTAATGGTGAAAATTATTTATCTTGATATGCATTTGTTGAACTTTAGCTTCTCGGTCAAGGTTTTCATGATCACTTTGAAAAAGATAATTAAATATCATCAAATGTTGAACACTGTTAGATGTGGACTTCCCACTCAGTGCTCTATTGTGGCAATTTGTGGAACCTAATATATTGGGTACTCTCAGAACATTCAGAACATGTAATTCCCTTTGGAAGAAGGCTCAAAGCATCTTTGCAAATGATATTTAGACTTTATGACTCTGCCCATTAAGTAACATCTCTCAAACAAATAAGTCATTACTTGAGATCTTTTATGGCTAAAGGTCAATAAATGTTGAGAAGTTAAAGATGTTCTTAAAAGCTGACTTGGGGAAAAACCATTCAGAAATTGCACAAGTTATATATGGTAGTGATTCTTCATGCCATAAATCTAAATTTTGATAATATAGTAGATCAAATCTTCACCAGTCAAGAAGTCCCATCAATAAGCCTAACAACACCATTACTCTATGTTACAACTCTTATCCACGAATGTACTGAAGCTTTTGCCATGTATCTACTCGTGGAAGGGAGGTCATGGCAATAGAGGAGGACATGGTACTCGAAATGCTTTTATTTTAAAAGAATGAGTCATACTGAAGAAAATTGTTACTCTATGCATGGCTTTCTTGAAAAGACAACAAATATCTCCAAATCAAAAACAACTAAAACAAGGTTTTATGGGGAAAAATATTTGAGGTTAAAATCCACAAGACGAACATAATCTTTCACATATCCCAGTTTGTCAATAATCTATATCTCACAATAAGTGGAAAGTCAAAGTTGGTAGATAACTAACTAAAGTGCTTTTTATCGTGGTAATCTCTCCTTGTTCTCTTCTATTTCTTCTCTTAAATTTCCTTATCTCAACTACGGTCAATTTATCCAAAACTGCTTCTAACAAAGTTGGTCATGTTTCCCTTTCTCTTTAAATATTAAAGGGTTAAATATATTTTTTGTCCCTAAATTATAAGGCAGTTTTGGTTTTTGTCTATATCCAAAACTTTGTTTTTGTTATGTCTTCATACTTAAAAAGTGGATGGATATAATCTTCCTTACCCAATGGCGTTAAGGTTTTTTTTTTACATGACAAAGGCGAGCCACNTATATATATATATATATATATATATATATGTTGTTTTACCCTATTTTCTTTTATAAAAAATAAACTTCACTTTAATAAGAATTTTTACCAAAATGTGTTTGGCCTAATATCTCCTTTTAAGGGAAAGTAAAGCTGATAAATTTAAGCCATGCACTACCTATGCTATCTTAGGATAATCATCAGTTTAATAATTCATTTATAACTTTTCAATGTTTGCAGTAAAAAAATTATATATAAAAGACAAACCAATTCTACGATTGTTATCAACAAACTTTTCTGCTTATTATGATTTCTATTGAAGTCCAAGAATTACAAAGCTTGGTTTTTCTTTATATTCTTTTCACTACTTGCAATACTACATTTATAACTAACTAATTTCTACATGTACTTACCCAATTGTTATTACAGAAATGGTTTCTGCCATGACAGTTAAATCTTTGGTTTAAACCCTTATTTGGTCCTCATATTTGTGTGTCAATCTCAAGTGGGTCATCGTGTTTTTTTGGGTCTCAATCGGGTCCTTAAACTTGTTAAAATGAGCCAATTAAGTCCTCTCCGTTAATTTATCAGTAACGCCGTTTGCATGTGATTACGTGGTGGACACATAATGAGCTCAGTTTAAATTATTTAAATACGTGGATAATAGTTTTATGAAAAAAACTATATACGTGACAGAGAATGAGGGAAGTAGTGATTTTGATTGTTTTTTTTTTTTAAGTTAAACAGAAAAACTGAAATGGGAATTAGGGATTTCATGAGTTAGGGATTTTGTTGTGGTGAGTGAGTGTGAGAATTAAGGCTGGGAAGAGTTTGCGAAGACGAAGACAATCACGTGGTGGTGGAGGAATGAAATTGAAAGTGTTCTGTCATTGGAGCCACCAATTGGGTTGATAACTACAATATCCCTCTATTGTCTTATGATATTAATGCTGTTCGGAGAATTGCCAAACGGGTCAGTGGAAGAGGTGGTGGACTTCCCTTTGTACAGGCCATGGCACTTGCACGTGGTGAAGGTGTCATTGAGGTAGCCTGTAATTTGTTGGATCCAAATAAAGTTGGTGGCGAAAGAGTACAAGAAGAAGTTGAGAGCCTAGCAAGAGAAGAAGGTATTTTAGTGGAAAGGAGATACTACACAAACTTCTCACAGGATCAAATAATTTCAAGTTACTTCAAGTTGTTTCAAAACAGAATATGAGGTCATTCAATCCTGGTTTTTTGGCATATAAAATTACTCTCACACCAGGAAAACTTGGTTTTTGATTGTCAGTTTTGAGATATTGTGTGGTTTATGTCCATAAAAGAAGAAGAAAAATGTTATGTATAAAGAACCTAAAAAAGATAGGTGAGCCTTACCTCACTGATACCTTTTATCTAGTTGAGTACTGGAAATACTCTTTATAATATTAGTTTGGAATCTTGAAGTTTTCTTTGTTGCGAAATTGTATGAGAGGTTGAAGGAGAAGACGGATTCCAAGGGACACTGCATAAAGGCCATTTTTTCCACCACCTCCATTTTTTCCAGAACTCTTCCTAACGAAAACGGAGATTTTAAACACTTTCGAAATCAGGGTTCTCTAAATATTAAGTTTTAGGGCTAACAACATCACACGTGGCAATCTATTCACACAACACAACACCAATCAAATTTAATAAACAATGTCTCGTCAACTAAAACAAATTACAGCTCAGCACAGACAAACGACGTTATTGATAAATTAACGGAGAGGGCTTAATTGGCTCATTTTAACAAGTTTAAGGACCCGATTGAGACCGAAAAAAACACGATAACACACTTGAGATTGACACACAAATATGAGGACCAAATGAAGGTTTAAACCTAAATCTTTAAACCTTTTAACACCATGTTCTAATGCGCTTATGTAGGAGTTAATTTCAGTTCAGTGAATTAGTTAATTTGAATGAAACAAGGGAAAATATACACACCTAAGTCCCACACTGTGAGCAAGTCCAGCTGTGAATGAATGGTTTGAGTTTGCCCTTTCCACTGGTTCACAGAGAGTTGCCAATGCCGGATCATCAATTGAAGAAACACGAATAAGTCTAGCACGATTTGGCCATTCCAGCATTTTCTCTCCATCAATCAATGACTGCAACCAAGCCTCACCACTGCCGCTTTTTGCGTACAATACGCATCCTTTTCCTCCAGTATCAGGAGTTGTTAGAGACGATTGCGCCATTGTTTGGTGATGCCGAGAATGATAATTAAGCAATTCTGTCTTTACTGGGTAGTTAGGACAACCAAGAACTCCAAGAACAACTTTTCCATCCTCAATCAGAGCTAGAGCAACAGCATACTGATCCCCACGTACAAATCCTAATGTGCCATCAACAGGATCAAGTACCCAATGTCTTCCACTGGGGCCTCCAGTTGAGTTGCAACGGGAAATGGCCTCAAGAATTTCAGTTGATCCTAGAGTTGTCTCTGGACTTTGAAGACCATACTTGGATGCAAAAGCTAAAGACTCATTCACAGTGTTCACAACATTATCCAGCAAGCTTGCTGATTCATCCTTTGAGATGGTTTGTATGTCTTCTTCGGCCACAATTGATACGTTTTGAACTCCAAATATTTCTGATAATAACCAACTAATGGTTGCTTGAACACTAAAGTCTTCTCGTGCCGAGATATGAAATGAAATAACCAGTCAATTAACAACAGTAAGCAATATTTGCGCCAGAAACAAAATATGAGCATCATGAATGAATTTGCAATTTGTAAGGATAAAATATATACTACGTAAAATATCCCAATTTCGAATATGGCAGATTTGTTTTAGTGCTATAGGAATATAAACAAGCTAGCTTGGTTTCACCACAAAAAATTGTGATTTATGATGCATGGACACAGGCACGGAAACGGCAATACCTATAATCGCCAAAAAGTAGGATATGACCAGTCAAATATATATATATGTATGTATATATGTTGAATATTTATATATTCAAAATCATATATAAAATAGTCAAATTTTATAGTTTGAACATATTGTTGCCTAATAAAAAAGGATCAAATTTATCCATCTAAAATCAACTAATAATAATAATATTAAATAGATAAAATGAAGTCCCCACCACCATCATGTTACACAGGATGAGGGTCAAAAATAGAAACAAACATGAATAGAGAAAACTAGTTCTATGACTCTCATAAAAGATAAAAAAAAGTTACTTTTATGAAATTTCATAAACCCACGACATAAACCCCATATACCGGATGAAACTAAAAACAGTAAGAAAGGGAATTTCAAATTGATTTTTAATTCGAAATAATAAAGGAAACATCAAAATTCATGTTATTCAAAAAAATACTTTATACCAAAACTTTAGTGATAGGTTTCACGTTCACAAAAACTGAGAAGCATGAAATGGTGGGGAAGTGCAAATGAGACTAACAGGGCATAGGAGGGTAATTTATTTATAGAGGGGAGAAACTCAAAAGTTACAAAAAGAGAACGTGTAAATGGAAAGTAGACGGTTTGTTTGTTTGTTTAAAGAGAAAACATAAACTTACGCAGTAAGTTTCTACCTTCCCAACTTAAAAAAAATACTGTCTCCACACTCATTACCACTGTGTTTGACTGTGTTGGACCTGCAATGATTTTTTAATTTGAAACTTCAGTAAAGTGTTTAACACATGTCGGACACAAGGCCATGCCATTGAAAAGTTGGGTTCATGCCTAATAGATTGTGATAACTAATAATATCTAGAGAATAAAAAAGAAAGAGAACAATGGTATTAGCTCCACATTTTGCAGGAGAAAATTGTGTAATACATTGAAGCTTGGATCTTTGGACTAATAACAAAAGGTAAAAACAAGTTCCCATCCTTATGAAGTGCTGCAATGCAGGTTTAAAAGACAAGTTGGAGCTTAGGTAGTCACTATTACAATAGTTTATAAAGTTTTGTGTTGCATTTATCTGTAACCTAGAATCATAGGGTTAAACTCCATTATGTTTTTCTTTCTGTTTCCTTAAGCTTATATATTCTTAGTAAGTGGATTTATGCCTCACTTAACCTCACAAAACTGACAATGAGGTTTATCCTCACTTATATCCTGTAAATTGACCTTATCTTTAGTATAAGTTGGCCTCCAATATACACTCTTTCAAGTTAAGATCTCCCAAACTCTTTGTCTCATATATACACTCTTTCAAGTTGGTATCAAAATGGGTTGATCCCACTTTGCTTATATTTTCTTGCAAGAAAATGTCTTCTCCCACTGTCCACTATCTTTGGCCACCATCCCACAATAGCTGAACTCCACCTTTTTCTCCAACAACAACCGGAACTGAAGTGTCTCTACAAGCCATGCACAATTTGACTGGTTGTTGAAGGCTAGTTCTCTCTCACTTCATCAAGTGCCACTTATCTTTGTGACTCAGTGAGGTGCATTTAGCCTGCATGCCACTTTCTTGTCACTACAACACCGTCACGACACCACCAGCATTTTCGTTGGCTACTTTTGTCCCAGTTCCAACTCCTATACTTACCTTTTTGAAACCATTCACGCATAGGTTATCTTGAAACCTAGGCAACTTCTCATTTTTTTCTGCTTTTGTTTTTTTATGTCTGCTAGAGTTGTGGAACATTATCTACTAGACCTGCCTTTTAATTTTTCGGGACTCAAAACAATTACTTTGAAAAATCTTAATGGTGAAAATTATTTATCTTGATATGCATTTGTTGAACTTTAGCTTCTCGATCAAGGTTTTCATGATCACTTTGAAAAAGATAATTAAATATCATCAAATGTTGAACACTGTTAGATGTGGACTTCCCACTCAGTGCTCTATTGTGGCAATTTGTGGAACCTAATATATTGGGTACTCTCAGAACATTCAGAACATGTAATTCCCTTTGGAAGAAGGCTCAAAGCATCTTTGCAAATGATATTTAGACTTTATGACTCTGCCCATTAAGTAACATCTCTCAAACAAATAAATCATTACTTGAGATCTTTTATGGCTAAAGGTCAATAAATGTTGAGAAGTTAAAGATGTTCTTAAAAGCTGACTTGGGGAAAAACCATTCAGAAATTGCACAAGTTATATATGGTAGTGATTCTTCATGCCATAAATCTAAATTTTGATAATATAGTAGATCAAATCTTCACCAGTCAAGAAGTCCCATCAATAAGCCTAACAACACCAATACTCTATGTTACAACTCTTATCCACGAATGTACTGAAGCTTTTGCCATGTATCTACTCGTGGAAGGGAGGTCATGGCAAAAGAGGAGGACATGGTACTCGAAATGCTTTTATTTTAAAAGAATGAGTCATACTGAAGAAAATTGTTACTCTATGCATGGCTTTCTTGAAAAGACAACAAATATCTCCAAATCAAAAACAACTAAAACAAGGTTTTATGGGGAAAAATATTTGAGGTTAAAATCCACAAGACGAACATAATCTTTCACATATCCCAGTTTGTCAATAATCTATATCTCACAATAAGTGGAAAGTCAAAGTTGGTAGATAACTAACTAAAGTGCTTTTTATCGTGGTAATCTCTCCTTGTTCTCTTCTATTTCTTCTCTTAAATTTCCTTATCTCAACTACGGTCAATAAATCCAAAACTGCTTCTAACAAAGTTGGTCATGTTTCCCTTTCTCTTTAAATAAAAAAGGGTTAAATATATTTTTTGTCCCTAAATTATAAGGCAGTTTTGGTTTTTGTCTATATCCAAAACTTTGTTTTTGTTATGTCTTCATACTTAAAAAGTGGATGGATATAATCTTCCTTACCCAATGGCGTTAAGGTTTTTTTTTTACATGACAAAGGCGAGCCACACTTGCCCTTTTAGTGTATACACATGGCCTTTAAATTATTGACAAGTGGTCTTTAAATTATTGACATGTGTGACCTTCCATGGCTGCTCCTCCCCCACCCCTACCCTCCCTCCAAGGTGTTGGCTTCCCTCTGCCCACCCTCCCTCCATAGTCTTCGCCTCACTCTCCCTACCCACCCTCCACATTCTTTGCCTCCCTCTCCTTCTTGCCTTATCTCTATTCAAGCTATGTTCTTTCCTTTTGCTCACTCATAGGATGGAGGACACCATGTCTTTTTTTCTTTTTCTTCACTCAAAATGGAGGACACCATGAGTACATGTCTCTATGGTTGCCTCTTCTTTTTTTGATTCCTATTTATCAAGATTTATTTTTTTCATTCTTTCCAATTTTTTGTTGATTTTAGTGGGTATTTTTTTCTTTGTCTAGGATTTGCTCTAAACTCCCTACATACCACTCACTGCCCTTTCACTTTTCTCATAAATTGTTCTTTTTTATTTGGGTTTGCTTTGAGGGGAGCATTTGTTTCTGCTATAGAACCATCGAGTGATAATGAAGGTAAAGCATACTTTATAGATTATTTAGTAGTTGGGAGTTTGGCTCTAGTTGATCTATCAGGTTAAGCACTCACCATGAGTAGTGGAGAAGGGAAGGTGTGTGTGAACAGTGGAGTCTATCTTCTAGGTGGGACCATGACCCATCATTATAGAACCATGAAGGAGGGTGGGGAGAGGGAGGCTCAGATGAGTACAATGGTCCCTGTATCGAAAGTCTTCCTGGCACGAAAGTAAGCGTGTTCAATTAAGATGAACAACGATACGAAAAGGGGTACTCAAATGCTTCGCTAGAGGAGAAGTGTACCAATGTGTAAGGGAGTCACCCTTGAAAGGGAGACTGCTAGAATTCCAAGTGTGAGTCCAAGTCCCACATTGCGTAAAAAAGAGAAAGTAGAACACCATATAAAGGTGAAGACCCATTAACCCATTGCCTTAAGGTTTTGGGTAGAGAGTGATGTCAATTCCTTATATGGTTGGACTCAAGTCTCATTGGTGTTGTATCTCCCCAGTGAACCCCCTTCCTTGATAAACCTAACAGTGCTACAGGGTATGAGAGAGTACAAAAACAGAGAACAGAGATTTGGGCAAGAAACTGGTTAGGCATTTTCCTTGGGGATAGAGGTTGCGTCTCGCAACTCTGGTTGTCAACTTTTCCGCATTGCTATGTTATGTTTTTCCTAGTTTCTTTTGGAAGTAGAAGTTACACTACTGGAGTTATTCTCCTAGAATATCATCTATTTCCCTTTATATACTACAACTTTCTATCACAATATATTTTTTCCTCCTGCATTAAAAATGTTAGAGTGCATATTGCAATAGGTAAGTGAGTAATTACACCAAAAAAGCTTAAACTAGGCCAAAATGCTAGAGTCAATTTACTAATAACTTGTATTTCAATAATTTATGGTTATAAATCTGAGATCAAGGAATCTAAACCTGCAACAACCATCATATAGATTTAGTGTAAACTTAAAAATTTCACATAATTTCAACCACCAACTAATAGGATCCTAAGGGTCTATGTTACGAAAAAGGGACAAAAACCATGACATAAACGGTTAGAGGGTAGAGAAAGGTTGTTGGTCAGGTGGGAGGGTGTTAGTTTGTTTGGTTTGTTGTTAGTTGTTTTTGGGGGACACATTTTTTGTCTGTAAAAGAGGGTAGACATGATCATTACATCCCAGGGAGGAAGGATTGCTTCCTTGGTTGTTTTCGTGTGAGTGTTTTCCAGCAATAAAGAAACCTTTGTAGTTTACGTGTGTTGTGTGTGTGATCTTTTTGTGTGGACCAATCCAATGGATAATTTGGGCTTTGTATCACCAAGAACCCTATCATTTGGTCCGACCTGCCAGATCCAAAAAAGAGAAACGAATGGAAGGAAGAATCAACACAGTAGAAAAGACGATAAAGGAACTAAAAGAGGGTCATCAAGAGCTCAAAGAGATGTTTAGAAATTTTATAAAAGATCCAAAGAATTCCGACAAGAATTCGAGGGCAATTAGGGGTTGCTGAATAAGAAGGGGAAGAAAGGTCAAGGCAGAGGAGGAAATAGAAGAAGACAAGGGTGAAATACAAAAAGATTGGATGAAAAGGGTAGAGTTGCCTACATTCTAGGGGATTGATCCGGAGGGATGGATATCCAGAGCAGAGAAACTTTTCGAGATTCAAAACGTGGCAGCAAGGGAAAAATTAAGATTGGCCTACATTAGCTTGGAGGGAGGGGCCAACCACTGGTTCCAATTCTGGAGAAAAAAGAAAACCAAGAATCCATCTTGGGAAGAACTATTTGAATCTTTAATCAGAAGATTTGGGGGAAAGGATAGGGGTATGGTGTTTGAGAAACTTCCAACGTTAAGGCAAAAAGGGATTATGGAGGAGTATATTCAGGATTTTGAAAGGTTAGTAGAGCAAGCATTTGAGTTGATAGAGGAACAACTACTGGGCTATTTCTTTGCTGGTTAGCAGGGAGATATAAGGAGCCAGATTAGGCTCCACAACTCCAGAGATTTCTTGAGGGCAATGGAGATCGCCAAGGACATTGAAGAGGTCACCAAATATTCAATTATGAATAGGGGCAGCCAACAGGAGCAGTCAATCGACTGGAAGATATCAGTAAGGATATGAGGTTGTTTCAAGCACAAAAATGTTCAAAGGAGCCAAAAGTGGACAAAGTACGTGAGTAACCTTTGTATACAAGAAAAGAAGGAGCTAGTACCACTAGAGGGTCCACGATTGGCAATAACGATGTGGGAAATAACAGAAATAGGGGGGGTAAGAAACCTTCCTTATCAGTGAGGATATGGGGTTGTTTCAAGCACAAAAATGTTCAAAGGAGCCAAAAGTGGACAGAGTACGTGAGTAACCTTTGTATAGCAAGAAAAGAAGGAGCTAGTATCACTGGAGGGTCCACGATTGGCAATAATGATGTGGGAAATAACAGAAATAGGGGGGTAAGAAACCTTCCTTATCCAGAGTATATACGGAGGAGGGAAGAAGGGAGATTTTTTCACTGTGGAGGGCCTTACAACCCTAGTCATAGGTGTCCCGAAAGGAGTATCAAAGTTTTGATTATGGCGGAGGACGAGGAAGTAGGAGAAAGGGAAGTGGTTGAGGAAATGGAGTAGAAACAAATGGAAATGTTGGCGTTCTCAACTGGAGGTCTGATGCCAACCAACACAATGAAGTTACAACTAGAGGACTAATGCCAACCAACACAGTGAAGTTACAGGGTGAGGTAAAGGGAAGATGTGTGTTGGTATTGATTGATAGTGGCACCAACCACAACTTTATCTTAGCCAAACTGGTAAAAGAACTTAGTTTGGGGGTAGAAGAAACTTCTCCCTATGAAGTGTGCTTGGGAGATGGCCACAGTGGATGTTGTAGGGATATTTTAGTTGTGTTGGAAGGGATGGAAGTAAGGGAGAATTTTTATTTGTTTGAATTAGGTGGAGTAGACCTGATATTGGGGGTAACATGGGTAGCATCTCTCGGGGAAGTCAAAACGGATTGGAGGAATCTAACAATGAGTTTTGGGAAAGGAAATAGGGAGGTGATGATTAAAGGTGACCCTACTCTGGGCAAGAAAATGGTGACTCTTGAAGCATTATTGAAAGAAACAGGAATTGAGGTGCTAACTCTGGTTTGGATCCTAGAAAAAACTGAGATGGAAAGAAGAGAAAGGGGGATGGAACAACTAACTCCAAACCAATCCCTAGAACTGGAAGAGATCTTGAGGAGGTATGGGGAACTGTTCAGGGAGTCAGGTGGCAAAGATACTAGAAACTGGTATAATAAGGCCAAGCAACAGCCTGTACTCTAAACGGGTATAATTTACGTGTGTTGTGTGTGCGATCTTTCTGTGTGGACCAATGCAGTGGATAATCTGGGTTTCTTGTAACCAAGAACCCTATCACTAACCTAAATTTATACTAGTGTGCCTCTGCACACATTGTACATTTATATCTCAATACAAATTATGCCACAACTTAAAAATCTGGTATAAAATAGCTTATTGATATAAAAACATCTACGACTATTAACCTATTAAACTCTTGGAAAGAGAAAAACATTGAGCTGAGACAATGTATTTCTCAGACAACATGGGTGCTTCATTTATATTGAGAAAAAAGAATTTATACAATAAGTAGAGGAGATATGATACTAGAATAAACAAAAAATGTTCCTAATAATACATATATGATATAGATATTCTTGATTATAGGATTAGTTCCTTATTTCAATAATCATAGCACAACGTAACAAAATTTGTTGATAACTAGTTCATGAAGTAGGATCATAGCCTCTATCATGCAGTTAGAGTTTGATACTTGTTCTCTTCATTCTTCAAAATGAAACTTAAATTATGAGGTTAAGGTAGGTGGGCTTATGCACTGTCAAGACTCAACAAAACATGAGCTTTGATCTAACAGCTTAAGCTTTAGACACAGCTGAAGCTTCTCGACAACTTCAATGGAAAAGTTCACTAACACTTTGAGATAAAGAAAAAAATAGTTAACGACCAATGAACAATATACTTCTCTCTAAAAGTTGTTTTACATTTTATGGTTCCTTACCATGACCATAACCATCTACTCAGTTTTATAGAATATATCAAGTTAGATGAATAAGCCAGTGCACAGTAGACGTCAGAAATCATACGATGCAATTATGATGCCACCATTAACAGAGGATTACAATAGATGAAAAATTATTTAACGATGCAAAGATTAAATGAATGTATCAAGTTATGACCATAGATAAATGCAATATAGGATAATCTACTTAGGAATTAACCTAACACTTCACTGTCAAGCTATAGCTCAAAAAACCCAAGAAGAACAGAATTCATAAACAAAGAATAAAGAATGAAAATCTTCATGTAAGCTAAATTATCCTCCAAAGAATCAAATTCACCATAAAAATATAATATTTCACTGGATTAATGTCGAAAAAACTGGTCCATCACAACGCACTTGAATACTTTACAAAGCCAAGAGAAAAATTTCTCAATCTCACATAAATCCTCAAGCTGCATTACATATTGAAAATTACGATTTGACAAAATTTGATCAAAACTGGGTCATCCATTACTTTACCATAGTGATAAAACAAAGTTTCTGACAACCCCATTTGATCTCACACCAAAACACCAATCTTACCACAACTATCAAACAATAATTCAAATGCACACCTCCCCAAAGCCAAAAACCAAAAAAGATCATACCCGACATCAATAACTAAATTCGCAACGATCCTATTATTATGAAAACAACAAAAAAAACGGAACTTGTCTTCACTAAAATTAAAATTAAACACAAATACCTGCAACAGTAACAGGAGAATCATCATCCTTGGACACAACGTGATCATTGCTGGTCTCAAGGAGCCTCTCCTGTACTCTCCCGCACAGAGCACACGCGACGTGGACCACCCTCACGGCCACCTCCAATTCCTTGGCGTACTTGTCTTCCTCCATAGCCAAAATAAGTCAGAAACTGGGGTTGAGAATCAAAGGATTCTGACGTGCCCACCTGGTGAAAAGGGGAAAAGGGAAAGCGAGGGTCGAGTAGTCTCCTACATGATGAGTTTTGCCGGACACAATGGCATCATTTCCCAAAGCGAAAAGTGAAAGTGAAACGTGGGGTGGCCCTTTCTCGGAGAAAAAGATGAAACCAAACACGTCCAAAGTGGAGTTTCTGGGATTTGGTTTCTCGGAATTGCACCCTCTCTCCATGATAAAATATAGCAAAAATTTTAAGCACCTCATGAACTTAATATCTTTTCTTTATTTTGTCTCGTGTGTATGATCCACCTTTAAACCTTTAATCTACTTAGCACACTCTCTGCTAATTAATAAAAAAAGTTTCTCTTCATTATTTTAAATGATCCCTCAATACATATGTTTTAGCTAAGTTTTAACAGTTTCAAATGAAATTATAATGACTAAGAATACGTTTATATTTTATGTAGGGAAAAAGTGTATTTAGTTTATTCATTTTTTTTTGTTAAACTTGTTTAATTTTTTTTTATTTTAAATTAATGAATCAGTCATTCCACTTTTGAAAAATATATTAATTTAATTTTTTATTAAATTTATTATTCAATGACAATTGTAACGGTTGTAAAATTTAAAAATACCATGTTTACACATTTTCCATAATTAATTCATCATATTAAAGTAAGAAAATTTAATAATTAAAAACATTTTTTTTACATTGTTGATTCTAAACTCTTCGTCAAAAGAAAAAGCATACTCTAGTTACGAAAACAACTGAAATTATAAAGTTTTGTTGTTGATATTATTAGATAAAATAATTGCATGTTTTTGTTTTGTTATGTTTTCATCATAAACAACCTTACCCGTTTGAAAGATTACTTACATAATAATTTGTTTCATCAATTATTATATATATATATATATATATATA